CAAAACCAGTATGGAATTATGACAAAGTATGAATTTTAAATAAAAAAGCATTTTTTTTCTGAAAATTTACTTGAATTTGGTTTATTATATATTTTCCTTAGAGAAATGTTGAGTGATTATTTTAGCCATTTTGATGCTTTTTCTAGCCATTCTTTTGCATAATATTATTTGAAACTGATTGTTTTTCGCAAACACTTTGGTTATTTCCTGCCATAAAAGGATTTTGGTGAAGTATCTACAAATGGCTTTATTGCCTGTTGCTGCCTTGTTAATCTGACCATTCCAGGTTTTCATCGATTCTGTATTTCTTCTAAATCCATAGCCAAGCACAGTTCTCAGGTTACCGTTTTCATGCTGCTGCCAGCTTTGTTTTCCCTTATCCTTAGTTCCTAGGGCATTAAGCTTAGGGAGTATCAGACCCTGGTGATATGCGTGCGGTTTTCTTCGTGGGAGTGAAGACAGACCTGAGAGATGGGTGAGGAAGGGGAAAGGGGAAGCTGACGTATACAGGGTTAGTGAAGGGGAAATTCAAATTGTAGCTGCTCAGCAGTGGTAATTTGTGACTGAGGAATGATCTGTCATGGAGGGCAAGAAAGCCCAACTGCGGGAGGGTTTAAGCTGGCTGGAAGCAGGGATGCCAGAGACGTAACTAGTCCCAGTAAGGGAGTGAGATTTCCCTTGGTGATGAGATAAGAAACAGCCACAGTATTGTCTTGTAGACATCCTGCAATGTGAGCCCTCAGGGGCCACCTTCAAGCAGTAGAGCTGGGCTGGGGGATGGACCCACATCTGGGCTGAGGTGCCCATGCAACCGCTGACGGATTGGTGCTGGTGCCAGTGTATGTAAGGAATGGGCTCCTGGCGATCTTTGCAGACACCTTGTAGAACCGCTTATGGCAGTAGGACTCTGCCCAATGCGTTGTTCATTAAGTATTTTTTTGTTTTATTTAAGCACAAATGCGTGTTTAATTCGCCTCATGGTGTACCATAAAAATTCCCCAACAATCACCACTGTTCTGATCGGTAAGAGATGGAAAATATGTTTACTGATGATTAGAAAACCAAAATAGGCACCTTTCTTACCATTACCTGCTCAAACCTGGTGGTGTTAAGCTCTCCTACGTGGCTTTGCTTCACTGTCCTCCTGTCATTGGCTGGTACCTGATTCAGCAACTAGCATCATTGGTTTCCAGAGCAAGACTTGAGACAAGCAGCCAGAACACTCTTATACATTTAAATGTTCTCTTGTCTTCTTTTCACCAAATGTTCAAAACCCAGTTTATTAGGAATTGAGCTTATTTTCAGGTTACTAGTCAATAGCTGATGGTCACTTATCATGATCTCCCATTCATCTTTCCTCAGTGAATTTCATTATGCATCTTCTATCACAAGTTTTCTTGAGGAGCTGAGAGGGTATTATACTAACAGTTCTCTTTCCAATTTCTATCTAAATTCAATAATTAAAATTATGGTTTAATCTAATATCTTGTATTTTCTCCCCAGATTTAAAAAAAATACAGTCTCTTTATCTTGGGTGGAAAACCAGCATTTATTGCCATTTTCCTCATGGAACATTATTTTGCTTTAATTTCCATTGTTGGATCTGACAAAATGCACAGCAATCTAATCTAATTTTCATATCGAGAAATCTGACAGCTCCTTTCCCCTCGATGTCAAAATGCAGCTGAACTAAGATAATGATAACTGTGTAGTACAATTGCTTTATAAGGAGTATTCATGAGTCAATCTGCATTAAAAAAAGTGTTCCCAAGGCTCTTTTCAGCTGGGAAAATTACCATGCTTTTAAAATAACTTATACCCTCCAAAAAAGAGGAAAGAGGCATCTGGTCTTCTGAAAGCAAAGATGAAAGCAGATTTGAAAGAATGCAGCAGGGAACATTAGGCAAATACATATTTAAGAGGAGATGGATGAATGCTGGGTTGTAATTCCATGGCACTGTAATAAAATGGATGAGGAAAAGATTAATCTCTACTGCTCCATTTTTTTTCCTGTTAAATATTTATATTTTTCAGAGTTGAAATGGAAAGCAAAATGTGATCAGAGATCTGAAAGGCTGAACATAATGGGATCTGATGCCTTTTTTCTCCAGGCTCCCGTTGGACGCATGGTCTAGATTGTAGTTCAAAGGCCTCCATGAAGCAAGTATAGAGTATTGGCCCAGGGCCAGTCGACAGGTGTCCAGATTATTTAAACCCACCACAATATGCACTAATATCCTCTCAATATCCTCTTCTTGTCATCTTCAGCAGGGAAGCCCATATTACGAGGGATTTTGAACTATACTGCTTCTCAGGCTCAAAGGTGGTTGTCTGAGGAAGGCTGCACACCAGCTTCCTGCCCTGTATCTCCTGTGTGGATAACCTGAAACCTTCTGTATGTCAGCAACACAGTGTACAGCAGTGCATATTTCCCCCTCTTAGTTTCATGCTGCAAAGCATCTCTAGCCAAGCCACTGTAACCAGGCTGGCTTGCGCTACTTTAAAGCTGTTTTGTCATCTTCGGTGTCTTCTGGCAACTTCCTGGCTACACCTCCGAGCCGACAATATACTTTTGTGGCACGTCAGGCTTGCTCTTCAAACCGTCCTTTCCTGTTGGCCTCCACTTCCTTGTATGCTGGACCTTTGCCAATTTATTCCAAGACTAAATTGGCAAAACATGTTGCCTCTCTGCTGCCTTTTCACTACCTCCTTCCACTCCCCCTCCTCGTATCACAAATACTGAACTCTCCCCTCCCCTCCCGTCTCCGCTCGTCTCCTCTGTCTCCTCCCGTTTCCTCTCGTCTCTTCTCCTCTGATCCCTTCATGCACCCCAGAGGCCCTGTGCTGACCCGGGTGGCCTGTTGGGAGGTGCCGAAGCCAGCAGTCTTACGGCAAGGCTGCTGCAGCTCCATGCCCGCAAGTTCAACCGGTGAGGCTGAGCATGTGTACTTAGTAGGCACATACACTCATGTGTACAACACACATATATATTGTGTGCTGGGAGAGGGTGCTGGTCTGGTTCCCCCATCAGCTGTTGTTCCTTTGCACTCCTTTGTGTATGCATGGAGTCAAACTGTTCATCACACAACCTAACGTTGTCCCTTCTAGTATCCTTCCCGTTAACCACCTTCTCTTCCTGCTCTTCTCCCTGGTAACTCTGTGGAAAAGGTGTCTGTGGCAGGATTTGCCCGAAGGAAATGAAAATATACTTAACTGCTTTGTGCTCTTCACATGAGAGGCAGATTCCAAGCAAGCCATGCAAGCCCCTTGCTATTTAGCCATTAAGCTCTAATCTAGCTGCCATGTATTTTCTTACTAACTGACTTTGATCAGTGTCTGCAATGGACTGTGACACAAAGCTGGGTGCTGACAGGTCCAATGACTGCTCTGCTTTGGCCCTGCAGAGAGCAGATGGAGCGCTATAAAGTGCTTGAAAGGGCGTTGGGAAAGGTTGCTGTGCTAGGGTGCTAGTGGCTGGTGATCTTGCCACCCGGAGAGGGACATTAGCTAAAAAAGTCACAATGGGAGAAGCAGAGAGAAGGAAAAGGAGAATGAATAGAGGTGTCTTTAAATTGCTTCATCAGATTAGCAGGATGGCAGGAAAGTTTTTCCTGCTGTTCTTCACGTCATACCAGTTCTGTGAATAAAAATAGGTCACTATTTTTCAAAGCTTTTAGTCTGGCATCCTTCATGAGTTCTATTTTACTTGAAACTCAGTTCTGCTACACTGCTTTCCCTGATGAGTGGATCCCTGGATCGTGGAAGAGTCCTGCTGTAATTAGCATCAGTACCCTGTGGTGAAGATTGACCCAGAGTGCCTCTAGTAGTATACAAAAACATCTCAAGTATCTAAAATCCTAAGATCTGGGAATGCTTAGGAGACAAGGGTTTTTTACAAGAAGAGAGAGATGATTCCATAGTTCTTTGGATTCAGCTAATGGAAGCCTTTTGGTATATTTCACTTTGTTTTTATGTAAATCCTGCATTGCCACACCATTTTGCTACTGCACAGCTGTTTGAAAGTAAGACTCAATGTGAACAGGAAATTGAAGCTAACCAGCCTCATTTCATTGTTCTGTCATCACAGAAATTACAAATATCAAGCCAAAATACAATAGAATTGCTTTAAACAGAAATAGCCCTATAAAATCCAAACAGACTGATTGTTTCAGTGTTTCTACAAACCGATTTTGGAATTTATGTCCCTATGATGCCAATTCAAAGAATAGCCTACTGTTGTGTCAATGTGACTACCAAAATAGCAGGTACTTGGTACCTGTAGAAATCATGCACATGTGAAAATTTACATTGTCTGCAGATTCCTATTTGCATTTAGCAATGTCTAAACGACATGTGCTAAAGCCTGTTTTGTGCTGCTACGTGTATCTGCATGCTTAAGAATTTGTTTTCCTAGCAGAAATTGCTCCAGACAGTTACCATGTGTTTCCATTAAGTGTCATTGCATAGATAGCTGGGTTATAGTTACTGATAGCTGGGTTATAGTTACTACTTATAGTTAATTTTTGATCTTGATTTTAAAATAATGATTTCTCTTTTTTGAAAATGCTTGCAACTATGTGTCAATTGACCACCTTTTAGAAAATATGTATACCCATTTTAGAAATAGTTTTAAACTTCAGGTTTCTTTTATTTGCAGGTGCACAGAGCAAGATCTGCACTTTATTGAACAGTACCTGGAAACAGTTTGACAGCTAGAATGACCTGCTGTTCAACTTTTGTTGAACTGAAATCAGATACAAAACCCAAAACTTCCCCAGAATTTTTTGTTGACCTAAATGACAATGTGGGAGACTTCAGGGTAAAATGAGCAGAATGAGAAACATTTTGCACAACACGAGAGTTACCCCTATGAGGGTGACCCCATGTTAATTTCACCAGATTCTAACTCTTCAATTGAAATCAGTGGTTTACTGCTTGAGAAGCTCAGAAAAGCAGAATTATTGTCCCCATTTGAGAAATCCCACAGACACTTGCCTAACATGGAAGACAACATGGATGTAAAAAATTCATTTAAAACTCAGGAAAATATTTCCTGCCTGAGGGATTTTTCAGAAAATGGTGATGACCTAATTCATTTTAACAGTATGGTCAGTGTCACTGCTGGAAAAGCAGAGCAATACTGCAGCAGACAGGTGCATTCCCGCCCTTCAAATGTAATCAGTTATCACACAGATAACTGTTGCTTTAACACGGAAGACTCTGTATCTGGTCAGTCTCTGGCAGATGTCCAGGCATGTAAAAAGACTGGGCTTGGTAGACCTCTGAACATGAACACCCTGTTCAATGAGCAGGCAGATACTCCCATAGTAGGTCACAATTATTGTGTAAAAGATGATTCTGAAAATTCTGCCACTATTCTGGAGATTTATGCAGAGAAAATTCCAAGTGTAAGTGCTGACTTTTCTGATGATGATCTGGAGTATTTCGAATGTTCAGATGTGCTGACAGTGCATGAAAATGAAGTCTGGAAAAAGAAATTACAGTTTTTATTAGAAAGTGATGATGAAGATGATTTAAAACTGAGTAAGGATTGTGATGGGTGTGCTTACTTCCTCAGTGAAATGCCTTGTCTGTTCCAAGTGTCAGATAACACTACGCCTATGGATACCACCATTGGCTTCTGTGGTCATCACTCAAAATTCAAAGGAGTAAATGTAAGGAGAGACCCCTCTATGTACAGCCAGTCAACTTTGCAGACAGAGATGACTCTCACTGTTGGACACCACCGAGATAAAAGTACCAGTTTGAAAGACAAAGAAAAGTATAAAGTGCCTGTTGCATCTGCAGGCATTGAAAATGACCATCCCAGAACTGAAGAAGAAAATAATGGAAGTGGCCACTCAGCTGCAGATTTCTCAACTGACAAATCAAAGAACAAGGATAATGTACGTGCCAAGGCGGACTCCTCTACTAGTGGCATAGGTGCTTCTTTGACAAATCAGGCTTCAGAGACAATGACAGAAAACATTACGGAGAAGGACTTGATGGGCGAAAGCTCATTGCTGCTAGAGGAGGGGGGAAGAAATTTGCCGGAGGAAAATGCAAGGCATGCTGTCTGTACCTTAACAGAAAGTTTACGAAGAAACCTTTTAAAGTTGTTAAATCCTAAAGAGCTTTGCAGATACGTAAGTAATTTAGGACAATCTTTCCAGACTGCAGCGGAGGTTAGGGAATCCCGTGCTCTGTTTCCCAGTCAGGAAGGTGTCATTTCAACACAAATCCCCGAGGAGACGGAAAGCTTGCAAATGCAGGCTGGTTTGTGTCGTACAGAAGAGGCAGATAAAGACTGTCATTGGGAAAGGAAGAGGACTTGGGGCCTGTCTGAGCAAAATCAGATGCCAAATGAAAACATCTCACCCAAGGTAAGTAAAGTGTTTATCATTTAATAGAAAGAGCTGCTGTACTGATTTGAATGCATTTGATTCTTGTTTGTCACGAAATAATGTAAAATCTAAATTACTTTGAAAGATACTATTCATGTACTTCTGAATGACAGCTACGCCTGGGTAGGAAATCTGGTTTTGAAAAAGGCCCAAATAAACCATAAGCTGTTCTAATTATAGAGTGAGACTGATAATAGTAAGAGGCACTAATGGGACTCTGGACAGCTGGATAGGGAAATCTGATATGTAGGCTATTGCACAGGTCTTATCAAAGTAATGTTTCTTTCAAGCCAGAAAGTTTCTCAAATACCTGTTGTGAGCAGAGAATGTTTTGATTTACTTTCTTTTCAGTTTATACTCAAAGAACAAAATTGTCATCCGTTTATGGTGCTGGAAATCTAAAACAAATCAACAGGGGTTTGGTCTGAATTTATAACGAGGGAAATTTAATCCAGCGAGTTACGGAGGTGAATGGAGCTTTGCTTTTTAAAAATAAAACAATGAGAGTCAGATATTCCAGTTGAAATGTAAAAAACAGCTAAAAATAAAAAAACCAAAGTGTACTTCATATTTTATGTCTGTTGGTAGGAGATCAGCTAGGGAAATCAGTATAGTTGTACACACTGATACGATGCTCCACAAGTTTTCCTAAGTGGGAGAATTGGATCATGCTTTTTATTTCACATAGTAAAGACTGAAGATATATAAATGTATATATATATGTATTAAATCATGAATAATCTTATTATCACCAACTTTACTGATTTGAAGGTGCATAGCTAATTGCACAGAAAAAAGCATTTATGACAAATAAAGACAAGCTTTTTCCAGTTCCACATGCTTTTCTTCATCTATATTATTTAAGCAAAAATATCTCCCAGTTCTGGGTAGTAGACTGACTTTAATCTCACCACTGGGGTGTCTTAAGCAGTCAAAAATCACTGAACTTCTGCCTGAAAAACATCCATAAGTTTCTCTGTTTTTATAGTACATAAAATTCCTATCACATTTTAGCAGCACATAATGTTCTTATTATGGGGAATACCCCCCTATTGAAATTAGCCTACCGAGAATTTCTTGACAGTATGGTATTATCATGGTTTGCAAGAGGTATTGTTTCATTTTTTTCCAAGTGCAGTACAATAATTTAAATCTCAGAACCCTCTTAGCAAAGAGCAGCTGTTACGTTACTGGAAGTGCCATGGCCAAATTTCAGATTGGCTAGTTAGACTCTTGCTACCTGCAGTCAGTATGTATTTCTTCTGTTTGTGTGTCCATGACCAAAATTTTACATTAGATAAAAATTAAGTAGGAAAGAAGTATCAGTGTACACAAAAGGGCTAGAGATGAGCACAAACCAACCCCCTGGTTTTAAACATGCATGAATGAAGGTGAAATTTAGTTGTAGGTTCAGAATTATGTGGTCTTGAAAATGAGCCGAACAAAAGCATCCCATCTGGAAACTACTCTTTATAGCAAAAGGAAAATGTGGACAGCTTCTCACAGCTCCCATATAGTAAGCCAGAAACTCCTCAGCAATCTGCTTGTGTAACCTAAGAAAGGCAAGAAAGAATCAACCTCCTATTGCTGCGCACAGGTTTTTGTAAAAGTACAGTGTGGTATTAGCTAGAGCCCGGGCATTTGAGACAGCTCTGCTAGGAGCAAGGTGAGGGACTCGTAGCAAAAACCACAGCTGATCGCTTCTGAAGAGTGTTGTATTTTCCCTCTCCATGTGGTGAATCAGGTCTGCTGAGAGGTACATAGCAGCCAGAGAGCCACAGCACTAATTACCCAAGGATTTACACTTTCCCTTAGTGCCAAGTTGCCTCTAACTGGAACAACCTTTGCAGTCTGTCTTGTGCAGCAACTGCTGTTCTGGGTGACTTCTCCTTCCATTAGGTGGTCAAGGTGGGAAGCTCCTGACTCCTCTCATGACCTCATGATCTAGTCCCAGGTGAAATTCTTTATTTATCTAATGCTTCAAAGCAGCTTAATTAATAGTAGGTCCTAAAAGCCAACTGTGCCAGCTGTATGATATTACATACTGTGCAGAGAGCCAGGAGGCTTCAAGTTTGCAGTGTGTCATTCAAGAGCTGGTGCCTGTTTAGTGTTCACCCAGCACCCTCAGCACAAGGTACTGATGTCACTCCTGAATTACAGAGCCCATGTCTATGGCCTGCCGAATGCCAGCGACGTTGGTCGTTGGTGAAGTCCTGCTGGAACTGGCAGGTTCAGAGGGATTCCAGGGCATAAGCAAAATACTTAATGTTTACGCTGATGCCCCAGGAAGAATGGCATGTGGTGTTTGTATATTTCTAGAGCATTTTTTTTTCTGCTGATTAGATCTACTGTTCATCCTGCCATTATTTTCTTTTCGCTCATGTCAGAACAGCCTGTTCTCATAAAATTTGAGAGATACTTGGTTTGATCTTCCTGACATAAATTTACATCACTTCTAGATAATTTTAAATTTTATTGTACAAAAAGGAGAGAAGCAGAACTGACCCAGAACTTCCAAGTAATTGAGTAATCTGGTAGTGCACAAAAAGTATTTTGTCTAGCATGTCATAACTCTGCTTTGTTAGATTCCAGGGTAGCCAAAATTGCCAGGACTGAGTAGGCCAATGAGGCTGTTCATCTGTTGGGCTACTGGCCCTGTTCAATATGTTAAGATGGTTAGCCATCTGCTGTTGTGTGTGATGTCCTAGAAGCTGCCATGTGTAATGGAGAACTGTGATTTAGTGTGTTTCGTTGCTGGGGCACTCTTAAGTTTAGAGCTCCCTGCTCTGCAGTTAGTCCAGAAATGCAGGTGCTAGTCATGTGCACTCGCTCCAACACTGTCATGAAGGAGAGGGTGTGTGCTGGGAGCAACATGCAGAAAGATGTGGGAAAAGGGTGGAAAGGTGAGAGGGGAGGAAGGAGTTGGGTTACACAACAAAGGAAGAGCAAAAGGAAACTGTTTGAAAGGGTGTCAGGGCAGTTATGATGGGTTAACTCTGCCCATGAGGAGTTAGATTGAAACCCAGCAAATGGTTTCAGCCAATAAAAGGCTGTTGGATGGGAACTGGTTTAATGGCTGGCTTTGAATACAAAATGGGTGAGGACTTCTGTTCCAAAACAGTAAGGAGTAAGAATTACTGTGCATGCCCAACACATCATTTTCAGTCAGCTTACAGTTGTTTCATTTTTCATTCAAATGTTTTTAAAGTACATCTCTGCCTCTTGTCTCATTTGAGTGAATAGTTGCTGGAAAAAATGAAGGCTTTTTGGTTATCTGAGCTCAAAACCTAGTCAGTTATAATTTTTGACACATGTATTCTTGCTCCCCCTTGGTGCAACTTGCCACCACTCACAGTTCTTTTCCTGGAATTTTGAAAAAACAGTTTGCCTAAATCTGTTTCCTATGACAGAGGAAGCTGGGATCCAAACTGCCTCCAACTTTGAATCTTAGCAGAAATTAGGTCTCTCATTTCTCAAAGTTTTTCACTTCATTGGAAAGTTTTGCACTCTGTATAAAATACTTCAGTAGTCTTTGGGTGCAGAATAACTCTCCATCAAGTGGTTAGCATGCTTTGTTTCTGAATATTACATTCATACTATGTGCCACAGATCCAAAAAGAGAGTTTGAGAGGCTACATCTCATCCTTTCTAATAGGCTAGAGTGGTTGGTACATTTGCTTGTCTCAGACTTTTGCTCTGAGTCTGGCTGAGATGGGAGCTGAACGTTCCCAGGGAACGGTCAGAGCCTGAGCAGTGTGCTAAGGGGCAGGAGCTCTGCATCAGAGCAAACAGAGGAGTCCTAGTCTGAGTAACTAGATCTCATGCAGGCTGTGATACCAATCCTGCTCGTTCAATAGGGCTGGCAGATAACATCCCATTTTGTCACCTGTGTTATAGTTGGTTCCAGTCTTTCCTGGGAGGCACACAAAAAACCCCATCCATTGGAAAATCCTCACCACTTCAGAGCATGGACCCATGACAGCTGTGGATGGTCAGCCTGTTGCTCTATGTTGTTGTCAAAGGCAGAGAACTCGCTTTCTGTCCTCTGAAATACTGCAGTTCTTAGTTAACTTCCTCTTTTTCTGCCTCTTCAGCAAAAGCAGGATGTGCCTGTCAGTAAGCATCTGCAGGATAAAATACACCTCATGTTTTTTGTTTCACCTGTCTAAAGCAGTTGGAATAACTACAGGTATTGAGTTATTTTAGCTAATCCAAGGCAGGTGCGCCATTTAAAGCAGAGTGTTATTTTACGAAAGTGGAATTTGAGTGGCATTGCATGAAACAGGGAAATAGAAAGAGCCACTAAGCTTCTGATGGAGAACAGCATAAACCAAAAGCAGTTCCAAACATGGTGGATTTGAGGGAGCTCTGATCCAGAGGCAGTGATATATTTATTGTCTGTATTCTAGGGATGACTTGTTAAAGTCCATTTGTACAGAGGGATATAAATGTAACATGGAGACTTTATTTACAGTGGAGAACTACCTTGCTAAATTATTTCCTCTTAAAACCCGTGAGAAACCATGAGGTAAAATTAATCATCTCATTTTAGAGATGAACCTCTTGCTTTCATTAACAGAAATAGTTCAGCTGATCAGGTGAGAGACTGATGTATAAATTATCCCTACATTTTGTAGGGGAAAGAGAACCAGAATAGCCTTAACAGATGCCTACTGAGTTTATTTGCATGTGAATGTGACAATTTGTCACTCAGTCCAGAAACAAACTTTGTGACATTGGATGGAGATGGTCCATTTCTCAGGCATGGCAAAGGGAGCAGAGAACAGCAGCAAACTCAGATTATACTGTGAAGATTCTTGTGATGCTCTGAGGTGCCTTTAAAAAAATCACGTGGAAAAGGGTCATTTTAACTCCAACTTTATTCATACCTTTTTATCACACAGCAGTAAGGTGATTTAGTGGCCTTTCTGTTTGTTGCTTTATCACAATCTAATGTATTCGTCTTTCTTTAGTGTTCT